GTAAACTCCCCCGGAGGGGAGGATAGTGTGACGATTCTTTGGTGATGAGGTTATGACCAGGTATGATTGTATTATGCATTATGGCAAAAGTGTTGTTATGATAAAGAAAGGGAAAATACATTTGACTGTTTGTAGTCCTGCTCTTTCTCGTTCACGTTTTGGCGATGATGAGAAGTCTAATACCGACGTGTTGTCTCATGCACAGTTAAAGCGGTTGGTGAAACGAGGCGCCTGCGTGTACTTGGCCTCTCTGAAGCCTATTGACCCAGACGCTGCCACGTGTTCTACCACTACTGTCGCTGGCTCTGAATTTTGGGGCAATCAAGATCATGCCACTACTCTGTCTGAGCCAACCGTCCAACCAGCCCAACCGAGCGACCCAGTCTCAAGTGAGAAGAAATGGGTTTCTACTTTGTTAAATGAGTTTTCTGACGTATTTCAGGATCCTCTTCCGGTTGGTCTGCCTTCTGAGCGTGCAGAAGGTCATAGTACTTCTACAGAGCCAGGGCATCCGCCTACGTTTCGGCAGATGTACCGTTTATCTCCGCTTGAATATCGTGAGTTGGAAAAGCAGGTCACCGCGTTCTTGAAGGCTAGAATTCTGGAAGTTTCTTAGTCTCCTTATGGTGCGCCTGTACGTGTTGTTTGTCGCTAAGCCTAACGGTCGTGATCTTCGTATGTGTGTTGATTATCGGGCATCTAAACTCGATAACCATTAAAAATCGGTGTATAATTCCACGTATTGATGATCTGTTAGATGCTGTGAGTGGTTCGTTTTATTTTACCTCTTTGGAGATGTGACGTCTGGTTATCATCAGATCATAATTTTTGAGGCAGATCGTCCGAAGACAACTTTCCGTACGCCTTCTGGACACTTTCAGTTTAAGGTGTTGATTGAACGCTGATGAATGCTCCGGCGACGTTTTAGACCGTAATGAACTCAATCTTCGCGCCAAAGAAATTTGTCGTTGTGTATTTGGACGACATTATGATCTTTTCAAAATCTGACGCAGAACATCAAGCGCATGTGCGGCTTGTTTTGGATGTTTTGCGTCGCGAGCAGTTATACGTGACAAAAGCAAAATCCAAGTTTGCTCAGAATAAGATTCAGTATCTGGGGCATATCGTAAATGCACAGGGCATTCGTCCTGATCCCAAGAAAGCAGTGCTGTCCAGTCTTGGCCTGTGCCCAAGAACGTCCACGACGTGCAGTCGTTTCTAGGACTCTGTAATTATTTTCGCAAGTTCATAGATCACTACTCGTCGATAGCAGTGCCTCTGACGAACTTAACGAAAAAGTTTGTTGGCTGGAATTGGACTGGGCGGTGTCAAGATGCTTTTGAGAAGCTTAAACGTAGTCTGATTGCAGCTCCGTTGCTTATGGCTCCTGATGAAAAGAAGCCCTATGAAGTTGCTACGGATGCTTCTGACTATGGCCTTGGTGATGTTCTGTTGCAAGAAGGTCATCCTATTAATTGCATTTGAGTCTCGTAAGTTGAACTCGGCAGAGCTTATAATTACACAGTTACAGAGAAGAGATGCTGGCTATTGTTCATGCTTTGCGAGTGTGGCGGTGCTAGCTGGAAGGAGCTCAGTTTTCTGTGTTCACAGACCACGTGTCGAACACTTTCTTCCAAACGCAACCCAGTTTGTCACGTTGACAAGCACGTTGGTCAGAATTCATTCATCACTTTGGGATATTTAAGTGGGAATACCTTAAAGGCGAACGTAATGTAGCTGATGCGTTAAGCAAGGGGGATGTGACTGCTAGTCAGCTACAAAGCGTTGACTCTGATAAGGCTCAGCCTTCTGGTGCAGTATTTGCTGCTGCTGGCCGGTGTAGCGACACCAAACCGAGGAATGTTCCAGAACAGAAGTATGTCCGGCCAGACTGTTTCTGTTCGTGGTGGCCAAAGTGTTTCTAGTCCGACTTTTGACTCGAGTCCTTCCTTGCTCAAGCCCCTTATTGCATTCCAAAAGCATGAGGCCCATATTTCTGCTGGATGATGCAGGAATTAGAGGCTTTGAAAGCTATGTGCGCGCTTCTTCCGATGGTGACCGATTCGTGTTGCATATTTGATCATTCGCGCGGCTAGCGGCATCACAGTCGCCGGCACGGCACTAGCCGGCATACACGGCACTTGCCGGCGTACACGCGGCCGCCTCTGGCTTACACGCGGCCCCATCCGGCGTACAGCCGGCAAACCCCGGCACCGCATAGTACCGGTAGTAACTCGCCGACCAAGCCGGCCGGCAGCAACTGCCCATATGCTCAGGCGGTCTGCGAGACCGGCCGCGGCACCTGCAATACCGCCCGGCAGTGTGGCGGCACAACCCCCGGTTTGTCCTGCCGGCACCAAGCTTTTCTGACTATTCAGACTGAAAGCCGCCCGACTCCAGGTCCCGCCGGACCGGCGATAGCTGTCGCCGGCGCCCTGCCGCGTGATGAGCGTCGGCAGTCGGCTTGCCCGTACCGGCAGCAGCCTTGGTACACGCGGCAGCCGCGGGGTACACGCGGCAAAGAGCCGGCACACAGCCGGCGTGAGCGGTCTTGGCTCGGCACACTTCCGGCATACATCCGGCGAAGTCCCTAATTTCCGATGTATCCTAGGTCGGGTACGGCGGCGCGCATCTTCTTAGGATGGCATTTGACTGCTTTATCTCTGAGTCGCTAAAACAGTTGTTTCAAGTGGTTGAGGTGTTCTTTGAAAGTTCTGCTAAACACAATCAAGTCATCAATGTAGCAGCGGCAGAAAGCCCTTTCGGCGCGGAGGGTTTGGTCCAGAACCTTCTGAAAGTATGCTGGTGCATTTTTCAACCCAAACGGCATAACCAACCATTCGTATCACCCATCTGCTCCCCAGAATGCGGTCTTGCAGCGCGATCTCTTTCTGCAATCCGGATCTGATAGTAACCTTGCCAGAGATCTGAAGTAGTAAACACCTTAGCATCGCCTATGATGAAACGTTCTTACTCCTGGTGACCATGGGAGAGGCGCGAAGGCGCCTGGTGATAAACCTCTCGGAGAGAAGGTGGTGTAAAGGTTACACCTCTGGTGGAATCCAGAGACTACATGTCT